TTGCGAAACCAAGATGCATGCTTGCTACGACAATAGCCAGGGATGGTCGTTCGCCGTGGACTGGCCATTGTCAATCTATTGGCCAATATTAATATTATAGAATCTTAGCAGCCATGCTCTTTGAGGAAGGGTGTCAATCTTTCAGTAGCATTGCTGATCTACTACCACGAGCCTTTCCAAGAACGTCGTTAAGCGAAAGGTCAAAGCCTGGCAGCTGTCAAACCCCCATTTTCGTCAAATCTCGCGGCCTTCCACCTCCCCTCTAGGTTATCTTGTTCGCCTTGAACAGGGAAATCCTCGCCGGCGCCAACGCTTAGGGTCCATCTCCGACTCCATCATGATTTTATTTCATGCGACCTGAAGCGGGGCTGCTGAAGACCTAGCAACTGGTCATGTCTCGAATTGGTGCGCATTATATCCAAGAAAGCCCAGTTTGAGGAGGGTCCGTGCAATCAGTGGAGGAGGCTAATCTACACCTCTGGCACTACGGCTGCTTTGCGATTAACCAGACTTCTGATCCCCCAGATCGGCCACTGTAAAGCCTGTCGGCCACGAGGTCAGTTCCCTCCAGATGGCAGTGATCGGCGTCTGACGAAAGACCATGACTTCCTAATCGGCTCCCACGGGTATCTAGAGATTCCTCAAAGCCTGAGCGGCCTTGAACTATAGATCTTCTAGAAAAGATATCCTTGCCCGCTATCGGCAACGCCCGGTGTCGCACATCGTAGTAGATAACAGAAGTACGAGTAAGTCTCATCCCTGAAACAACGGATTGGATTACAAGGTGATTTAGCTTGTCATAAGACAGTCATACAATGATCCAGATCCAGACTCCCAGATCAATGATCGTTGTTGGCACTGTGAGCATAGACCACATGTTTGCAATACTCTGCTGTGTCACACCCCCCCTTCACCCGCTTTGTTGCACTGATGTACCGGCCGTCTTCCCTCTGCATGACAATCTAATCGGGATGTGATTGTCATGTGGGCTCTGGGTATATTCGCTTCTTGCCACAGGATGACGCCTGTCCTCATGGCTTTGAGGATCGTCACTCGAGCTTGTGTGACTTTGTGGTTGAAGTGATATCTGGAAGTCAAAGCGCTTCTGCTGATGAAGAGCATCGCGATCTCCCTCCCCGTTCCATGATTATCCGGAACTGATTATGACTTCATGTGGCAAGACACGAGTGTGGCACATTCACTCTCCGCCTCTGACAATGTTGTCTTTTGACTTATCGGAATCACTTGCTATCGCACTACGTCGGCACTACTCTAAGAATGAGCAGCAGACTACGACGTTGATTAGATGCCCCTCAGTGGTACGCGGAAGTCTGGCTTTGTTTTCGCAGTTTCTCAGACGACGAATCAGCCTACTCTTGACTCTTCATCAAGGCATGAATAGCGTTCATGAGAGTATTGGTTGCTTGCTACCTATCACTGATCGGTTGGTCAAGCTGCTTCATATTCTTTTTATAGATTTTCTTCTGTCTTACAATACATACGCTTCATTGCCAATGGCCATTTTTCGTTGAAAGGCATGATAATGGAGGAAGGTTAGGACGTGTCTATTGATATTTCTTCTGATATACTTTGGCCCTATGGATACAGTCAAGTGCTTATCTACGCATATTGCGCATTTTGGGTGAATTTGCTCTTCTGTCGTCGTTTATATCTTCAATTGTCAGTCTTCAAGAGCAGTATATCAGGTTTTCCTGAACTCTAGGAAATGAAAAACGAGCAACTGAGTCGTGTATTCTCTTGTACACCTCCTAGCTGTATGCTGTCCTTCAGAATCAGCCTGGAGGTCAGGTTAAGAAATCCTGAAGTCTTCATATCATTCCCCAATTGGACTTATTCATATGCTTTCTCATTGGAGACCAAACCTACATTTAATGCAACATATCCCCTCATCAGGAACAGTTGCTGTTTCTGACAAGCAACCATACCTTTCCACCTCTGTATTGTTCAAGATATGCATGCCATATCTCAGATATGAGAATTTGGCTGGCAAGGCATCATGTTAGTGGGGCATCGCTCGCTCTCTGTCCACTTCACCCTGTCTATCAGATCCTTCATGTGAAAATGCTACTGCACGTACGGCAGGACCCTGAGGTACGGATTCCTTGCCGAGAAACGTGGACATGTCATTGTCGAAGGATGGCAAGGCGTGCATGATGCCCATTGCGCAGTTGCTGGTGGCCCGCAATAGCCCACCAGTTCTCCACCACTGGGATATCTCTTGGCTTTTTGATGTTTGGTACGCAGGAGCCGTGCACTGATTGTTGCAAGAAACAGACTCACGCTATAGCCGCTATCAATCGCGATCCCACGGTGAAGTGGCATCAGCGCCGCCGGTTACTCGGCAAGACTAAGAAGTCATCCACTGGCTGACAGCCGCGAGGTCTTTCCCATAGGTTGTTGTGGATATCTATAGCAGTGCAGATGTCCAGTCGCAACATGGACAGGGGACAAGGTTTCATTCCTAGAAACCTCACCCCACGCCGTGTTGCAACGTCGTTTTGGAAACCTTGGGAAAGACATTGTGCAGTGATCCTCTGCGGACTTCTTTTGTGTATCTGTCGCAATCCCGGCCGGACTTGTACACAGGGTCTAACAAACTGATGGTTCAAGTGGCCGATAGAAGTTTAGTTGGCCTGTCGGCTTGATCTCCGAGGACGCTGTTATACCGCTCAATATAGCGCCAAAGCACACTGAAATGTGAGATGGTATAAACGTGTTGCTCGTCCAGGCTCTAATGGCGGTGTGCAGCCCTGAATTCATCAAATCCTGCAGCACAGGTCCAAGTCACACATCAACCGCAGACTAAGCGATGGTCATGCTTCGAGACAGTAAATGCTGCATTTGACATTCTGAGCCGAACTCATTGCTCGCGCCTCCCCAGGTTGTTTGGCACTTAATCAAGTGGCACTAGCTCACTACATGAATATAAGACCACATACTGCACTCAGCGCCCGGGCACATGCCAGCTGTAGCAGCGCGGTAAAAGCTCGTGAAGAGCAGGCTTTTCATCATTGGCAGGACTTGTTACGACCTTTATTGTGGCTCACAGTGGTGAAGAACGAAATCACCCGCGACGTCAGCGCTGGCCAACATATTATTTTATAATTACTGAGCTGTGTCAAGCGTCTTTGGAGCCGCGGAAACACATTATTAAAGTTTTTTCAACCATATGAATTAAAGGTTTGCTCGTGAAGAGTTGAGCACTTGTGGATAGATCAAATGTGTTTCTTCAGGGAATCATCTTCACGAGACTTTGAAAGCTGGCGTGCTGCCATAACTCATAAGCCTGATCTACGACACTGGACTGACACCGAGGATAGACCTTGAAGCCTGCACACATCAATGCTTATGCATCGCACAGACGAGCTGGTCTGAGCGGGATCACTGTCAGCAAGAGTTTGGTGTCGACACGGTCCGCACCGTCCCTGAGCCGTGGGGACGGGTCATAATTGACAGCGGCACAATCCATACATCCATAGCATAAATGTATCTCGATGATATGAACTGATCTCTTCTGCACAACACACTCCTTCACTCCCTCTCGCTCCCGCCCGGCCGGTTCAATAACAGCCGCAACTATCGTGACAAGACAACGCTTTGACCTTTTCGCTCTCTCGTCTCCATTCATGATATACTCAAGGAGCGGACGATTCCTGCCCAATGTAGAGTATCGCGAGTGGGCAACGGTGCTGCAGACTCTAGCGTTGCAACAGGACCCCACACCGTTGCTGCAGGTACTCGGCGATACTAACACTGCGAGTACAGACAGTACCAGGTTTCGTCAAGACGAGTACGGGGCGACGGGTAGCACCTGCAGAGGCTCGCATTGGCATGACCACCGACCGAATGACTTACCGACTTGGGACAATTGCGCGTTTCCCTCCTGCGAAAAACATACGCGATGTCGTAGCGAGTCCTCTTGGGCTCTCCCTCTTTCTCCTGGACCATGCGTGGTTGCTGGGGGCCCAAGGTGGCTGGTGCTGGCCCCTGGCAGAGGCGTCGCCCACTCGGGGAATTGATAGCAATTGAGATCTCCCCTGCCCGGCAGATCGAGTGTTTCACCTCCCTCAAGGGCTAACGAGGAGCAGTCCGGGGTGGTTCTTTCGGCATTGTGAGCAATCGCTTCGAAAGAAAAAAAATCCCATTTACAGCTGTTACCGTGGCTAAAAGACGCTGCACCTCAGGTTCTGCACGTCGAGTAATTCGTGCAACTATCCTTAGTTGTGACTGTTAGCTAGAATGTTATGAAATGGTTCTCATGAACTTTACCTATTACCTGCGGAAAGATTTTACTACAGACTTCACTCCTTGCCCAGGTAATAAATGTTAGTTGGGCAAGGGTTTCATTACCTCCTCAACAAGTGTACTGCCATTATAAAGGTTGATAGAGCCATAGTAGTAAGCAGAACCTTCGAGATCTTAATGAGTATAATGACTCTCAATATTGAGAATCCTCATCCTTCAAGAAATAACGTTTATGACTCTGGCGAAGGAGTAGATCCCAGCTTCGAACCCGATGGCTAGAATCTCCAGGGGGTGGTCTAGCTCCCCAGGCTCGGTATCGATCGCCATCCGCGTCTGGGGAGCCCTACACATTGCTCCCTTCCCGTTAGGAACCGAAATTGATACTTGCCGGGATCGCGTGGATGGCCTCGGATTTATTATCACCGGGGCCACAATAAATCAGGCAGTGGCGAGAGATGCTCCTGTTAATAGATCGTATCTTGGACCCAAGATTTCGTAGGAAGGCCTGGCGGAGAAGATGAGCTATCAAGTGTTCACATAGAATTTGTATCAAGTCTTGTCATCTCTAGCATTTACATCTACGATAAAAGAGACATGCAAGCGCCTCTGATATTGACAAAATCTCGAACATGATTGATGACCTTCGTGGTATCATGGTGTCATGAGCTCTATTTTTTCCCAATACTCCGTGAATGTACAATCCTGACCTATCTCGCCCGATTCCTTAGCTAGCTTTAATCTTCGTCCCAGTTCTGAATACACTGTTAGTCTTTGCATCGCTGGTATACTCGGGTACAGAGTTACTTACCGGGTTCGGGCCTGGAGGCTTGGGACCACCAGCTTGTCGGGCAACGATGATCTGGTCGACAGACAGAACGGTCCTAGCAGCCTCTGTTGCCAGCTTGATAGCCCAGCTCTTCGTGTTCAACAGATCTAGGATACCGTCATCCTTAGCATCCAGCGTACCCGTACCATCATCGTTCTGTGAAAATGTCAGCAGGAGTCGCAATATCAGATAATAGAGTGCATACCTCAATATCAACGCCGAAAGTCATTCCATCCTTCTTCTGGTGGGCAGCATATAGTCTGCTGAGGACTTCGGTGGCATCAAGACCTGCGCTCTCCGCAATCGTTCTTGGGATGACCTCGAAAGCTTCGCCGTACTTCTTGATAGCGTACTGTGCCAGGCCAGGTGTCTTCTCTCCGAACGCCTGTATCCTGTCCACGAGCTGGAGCTCTGCGGCACCCGCACCAGGAACTAGTCTGGAGTCCTTCGTAATAGCCTTGACGACATTGACGCCATCATCAACGGCGCGCTCGATATCGTCAAGGTGATTCTGGGTTGCGCCACGGAGAACAAGTGTTGCCGTCCTCGTGACCTCGTCCTCCTGTCGGAACACAGTCACTCGATCGCCGCCAATCTCGAGCGTCTCTACAATATCGACAGTGCCCATCTCGTCGGGCATAGGAGCACCAAGTCTTGCCAGGGGAGTTGCGCCGACTACTCGGCATATTCTTCGCAGCTCGAACTTGCTGAGAATCTTGATGAAGAGAATGCCATAGCGGTTCATGTAGTGCTCGGCCAGCTCTCCTACCGTAGATCCAGCAATGACAACCCGTAAGCCAACATCATGTAGTTCCTTGATAGCTGTCTCGAGCTGTGTCTCCTCGCCCTTTGTGAAGTCGAGCATCTCCTTAGCATTATGGAGCAGCACGGTGCCCTTGGTCTCTGTCTGACTGATGTCGATTGGGCATGAGAACACGCCGACCTTCGCCTTTTTGGCCTTCTTGATGATGCCATTAGGCTCCTTAGGAAAGACCATGCCCTTAACGACTCTGCTTTGCTCCAAGCTGCCACCCATAATCTTGACGACTCTGATATTGTCAACGTTGAAGTTGGCGGGGTTCTTCGGTAGGACAGCAAGAACAGCTTCGGCGACGAGGTCGGCGAGGAACTCCTCGTTGCCGTTCTGCTTGCTGGCCACAACCGTGCTGATGGCTTTGCTGAGCTCCTCCTGTGATCTGATGTCTTGTACCTTGTCAACGACAAGCTCCTCCAGAGCTTCCAGGGCGAACTTCTGTGCTCGCTCGTATCCTGTAACGATATCTGACGTCTTCAGACCCATCCGCAGAAGATCTTCGGCTTTCCGGAGGAACTCGCCGGCTAGAACGATGACTAGGTTGGTCGCATCGCCCATCTCGGCCTCCTGCTGCTGACTGGCCATGACTAGGAGCTTCGCGGCGGGGTGGACGACATCGAGCTCTCGGAGGATGGTTGCAGCATCAGAGGTCAGAATCATCTTCTGAAGATGGTTAATGACAATCTTGTTTCGCCCGTAAGGACCCAGCGAGGTCTGGACCGTCGAGGAGATGGCCCGGCAGGCATCGATGTTGCGCAGAACAGCTCCATCTTCAGAGTCGTAGCTATATCAAATGGTCAGAGCTTGGGACGGCGGAGCTTTATAATACAGCGAGAACAAGGGAACGTACTTGTTATAACCTCCCTTGAACAAGCCCGCGTTGGGCGCGTTCGGGATATTGAGAGACATTCTGTTATACCGACCTTAAAAGCTGCTAGATGTTGTGGGCTTGGGGGTTGAGGGATGAGCGGTGGTGGTTTAGTCGGCAGTGGGGTCGAGCTCAAGGCAATGAAAAAAAGTTCTGGTGGATAGGTGCAGCCTGACGTTCCTGGTGCGGGTGGTGCAAGCCAATCATCGCAATCTCAGGGGCTTCCGGCCGCCTGGAGTAATACTTGCCCCAGTGTACTCCAGTTGGTGCAAGCCTTCAGCCTCACCACCAGATCCAGGGATCGTTAGTCGCATTACTCCAACCGTGTCTTTCGCGGTTGACTTTTCGCTTTCCTTCAAACAAAAACTCCATCGGTTTGTTTTGAAAAACACACACCCCCCACAGCCTGTAAAAGCTCTTGAAGCAATTCAGGCATTGGAACTGCTCCAACCGCACACAAGATGGCACCAGGTATGTAATTCCAGATTTGTTATCAATCGCCTAATAGACTACCTATTGCTCTGGGAGGCTTCTCTCGCATATCCGTCCAAGTCGTCCCAGGCCATCATCTTGGGACTTCGACATCATTATTGCCTAAACCCGAGGACTCAGTGAACGCATCAACTCAAGATCTTATGCTGACGAGTATATGCAAACAGCCAGCGCCATCCCACCCGCCCTGCCGCCCTCGGTAGAGGAAGCCTACCGCCGGAAATGCCTCCAGCTCAAGCAGCGCACCAACGAGGTCGAGGAGGCCAACGACGCCTCGCGTCTGCGCCTGATGCGCCTCAAGCGCCAGGTCGAGAAGCTGCGCGTCGAGCGGTCCTACCTCCTCGAGCAGCTGGCCAAGCGGACGAGCACCAACGTCGAGGACTCCGAAGGGAGCCCCAGCCCGCCGCCGACGGTACGGAGCAACCAGCCCCATCCACTAGACAACCAGCGTCACTTGGATTCGGATGCTGACATGACACTGCGGAATGTACAGCCCAAGGAGAAGCCGCTGCGCACCAAGCGCGGCCACCGCAAGCCCTCCCTGCTCGCCAACCTCGAGGGTGGCAGTGCGCCCGGCGCCACCTTCATCAACCAGAACGTGCAGACGCTGTCTCCCAGCTCGGACGCCTTCTCGCACACCCACGCCGAGGGCAGCCAGAAGGAGGCCGCCGGCAGTAAGGCCAATGGCGTCGGCAAGCCGAAGAAGCCCAGCACTGCGTTCGAGCTCTACTGCAGCGACACGCGACCCACGCTGGCCAAGGGTGACGGCAATGTGGAGGAGGAACTGGCTAAGGGCTGGAAGGATCTCCCTGAGAAGGAGAAGGAGGAGTACCAAGCCCGCTACGACAAAGCCATGAGCCAGTACCAGAAGGACAAGGATGCATATGCCCAAAAGGCAACAGCAGAGACAAAGGCAGAAGCACCTGCAGAGTCACAGGCAGAAGACACGCCAGCTCGGGATGAGGACGTGGAGATGGGCGAGGATACGGAGCAAGAGACCCCAGCTGTTGAGAAAGAGGATGAGTAGTACATGTAATGGGGGTTTGGGACTCATTATGGCGTTGTGGCGTGAAAGGGAAACATAGAGGCAAATTCACGATTGTACATTATACATGGACCAAAAGATGGCACTGAGAGTCACAACAGTCATAGGAAGGAAGGAATTCATCTCGTTGTTGTTCTTCACCTTTCGTATTTTGGCTGTGAAGCACTTATGACTACAATTGGGTATATGTTCCTCCTCCATGTTCTTCGGCAGGGTAACCTTGTATATATATCCCTTTGGATTCTGTGACGGCAAGGCCACAGGTGTTACGAAGAAACGCTTAATCCACGCCAATGTTCAACGCCAACGCTCGGTAATGCGAGTGCAATCCGTATGTTACAGCGCCATATCAGTCCACCCCAGCATATAAGTCGACAACTATGTTGACAGCGGCAACCAGAATCTCTGCCGCGATAAGAATGATGACTAGCAGAAGTAGCCGTTAGCATGAGAACGTAACATAGCAGAGGATGCCACCTACCAATCCACTCTAACTTCTCCCCATGACCATGACTGAGCTGGTCTTTTAAGACCGCGAGGAGATCCGCAATAACATCCAATCTCTCTGTGAGCAATCCTACTCGCTGGTCCATCTCTAAATAACTCCGGACAGCCTGATAGACAGGCTCCAGTTGCGGCTCTACCCAGAACAGCTCGGGAGTATCGAGAACCGATCCATTGAGATGGATGTTAATTCGGAGGATGAACAGCTCGCCAATCTGCATGTTGATCTGAGTGCGGCTAAGCGCGATCTTACCGGTCAGCGCAATCTGTGTGGGAATGTCCTTGCAGGTGTCAATAGTCGAAGCAATTAGTTCTTCAAAAAGCGACGTCTACTAGACGCGTTAGCGATGCTATGATATATGAGGAGTATAGGTATTTATGCACTCACCTTTACGCTTTGTGCTAGAGCATGAGAAATTGCGAGCTTCGTCATGTAATTGCTCTTCTCTCTGAGCGTGATGAAGTCGTTGTATATCCTGGGCTGGTACTCTCTGGTATAGTAGAAATTAAAGAATTCGGTTTCGACATCGTCTGCTGCAAGCTTCTCTAACTCGAACTTTGCGATTTCTTTTAGGAAACGTTGCTCGTCTTTCAGTGACATTCCCCATATCACAACTACGCCATAATCAAAGAGGAAGATCTCCGGCGTGTGAACGTGTATATCAAATTCCACAAGGTCTTGCACGGCACTCTCCTCGCCCATGCCTTGGTTGAGCAAGTCAGGCTGTGAACTTGAAGGATCAAAGTAATTGTCACCGCCAAGCTCGTGAGTGCGCTGTTCTTCAGCCCGGAGATCAATGAGATCTTGTTGATGGTAACGTGAGTCTACCTCGCCTGTCGAGTGTCTGCGCTCATTGGGATGTGCCGGGTAGGAGTGCACTTCCTGTAACCTCTCGGAGTTGACGTTTTCCACTTGCTTACTACTGTAGCTGTATGGCGTATAGATGCACTCATCGATTAACTTCGGGTTTGCGCCCTTTGACTTTCCTCTCCCCTTCAAGAACCGCACCAAGCCTTCCATCTGATATTTGTTGGCTGTGCAATACGCCGTCACTCTGGGTAGGCGGTCACGGTCAGCCTTGCCGAGGCGAGCAGCATCCCGTCTCGCTGTCGGATCCTTGATCCGTGTGTACTGTGAATATACGTCCCGGCCGCTTTCCTCGTCCGGGCCCTCGTCGCCGAACTCGGGGTTTGGTAGCAGCTTCAGCTTCTGGGCATTCTTGGTACTTCGCTGCGGGCCAATCTTCGGCGCGGGGAGAGGAGGTAATGATGGCATAGTGCCGCCATGGCTGTTCCTCCTTCGCAGTCTGTTGTTCAATGCTGCGAGCATAGGAGGACCGGCGGCCATGTTACCGGTGCTGGCGCCATAGCTTTGGTGACCGGAGGAAAAGGCTGAGCCGGAGCCGGTGGCGTAGTGGGAGGTTCGAGGCCGTACGACATCGGGTTCGGGCTCAATTGTTCTCGAGACAGGATCGGCATTGAATGTGACTGTTCTTGCTGCCTTTGGTCGTGCCTCAGGAGCAGGAGGTGCCGAGACAGTAGACAACAGAGGAGATGCCTCAGTGTCTGTAGTTGACATGATCGCTCTACTGAAGCAGGGGAAGCTGCTTCACCTCCACTGCTTGTGAAAGGAGGAATTCCAGACACGCAAAGTTCAATGGATGCTATCGCGAGTCCATGAAATGGCAGTAGCTCGGGTCTAGGATAGGAGAAAGGTGACTAGCATTGGTTCGCCAGGTGTCGCTGGTGGAGTCGTCACCTTTCGTGATGTTAAAGTGATGGTTGCTTAGCCTGGGCTAACGCATATGACGTCTTGCTAAAATTTCCTGACCGAACAATGGAGCACCTGGCTCTTTGAAGACTAGCTTCTTCCAGCAACAAAACGCGGGGAAGCTGGGTATTGTTTGCCAATCTCCAGCACCCACAGCCCTGGAACTCCAATTACATCTGATTTCAACGGTTCATCTGCGCATCATTTGTAATGTTTCACTGCCTGAGACTTCATAAAATTTTCGCCGAAGGCAATACAAGTATATCTGTGTTCCATGTGTAAGTCACAGTGATTGCCTCGAATCAGAGCTATATCAGTCAAAATCTATTTATCGACAAACGCTAAAAAATCTTGCACCCAATTAATTAGTGTACTGGAACATTACTCTCGTTAACCGGTAAGTGCTACTAGCTGTATATGACAATTCTGAAACGATCTATCAACAAAGATATTTGTTTTCATACTCTCAAACATGCAAAATGTTGCTTCGCAAAGGCATTTATCTTTCAAAGCATAGATGACTATTAATTCTCGAGGATGAGCGGTGAAAATGACTCAACGAGAAAGACGTAATGTTCAAGCCGAAATTATCTTCGTCTCAAATTTGAAACCAGACTTCTCAAGTCTGTCGATATATCTCTGGCCCATACAAGCCGCCGTGTAGATCCCGCCTGGAAGCTGCAGGTCGTCTTGGAGTAATGTTTCAGCAGCTTCAGCAAGAAGCATGGCGGTCACTAAAAGACTGGTATTAATGAGCAGTTCTAATGTAGATCGACTCAAATCGCTTACAGTAGTACATGCCACCCGTGAAATAAGCTCGGCAATAGACTTGTTTGCCAGTCGAATCTGGAGGGTCAGGAAGAGCAACACCTCGGAATTCGAGATCCTGTGTCTTTGTCTGTTCAACGTCTGGGCCTTGCCCTGGTTGTATCACGAAGTGGCGGACTGCTTTCCGGGCAACTGGGATGATGAGAAACAGCCCAGCAACCATGAGCCCCCAGTGCATTGCTATCCCGTGAAACCAGTTCTTCGGCTTCATAAATTCAGTGAAAGTGAAGTTTGGCCCGTAGAATTCGTCTTTGCGTGATGGTGTCGATGATAGTAGACCCCATGTTCGTTGAACAATAGCGGAATCCGTGTCGCCAGCCAGTGAGGTAGTTTGGACCCCAAGATGCGGAACATTATGTATGCCTACCAATGTGCGAACGAGGGAAAATTTGCGAGATGCATTGGGGTTTGGTACTGGAGAAAGAGCGAATGGGCGGGTGGCATCTTGAAATTCCTTGAGACTGAAGACATCGAACATGCCCAACACCGATGCCATTGTACCTCCAGATGGTGCGGTGCTTCACATGAATTGTCAGCATTATGAGTAGTACTTCCGAAACGAATACTTCTCCAGCTTACGTGAGTTTGTGAATCGAAACCGTCGTGTCCTTCGTCTTAGCGGACAGTTCTTCTCGCAAATGCTTTGCAAGCGTCCATGTAATAAGGTCTGGAGGTGCCGACTCGATTCCGATCTGTGGAAACATCAAGCTTCCGCTCGCTTTTGCAGTCTTTTCATACTTCTTGATCATCCTTGCGACAAATGGTATCTCTCCAGTAACATCGAGGTAATGCGTTCCATTCTCAGCGCATGCTTTGAAGGCCTATGATTGATTAGCATTACCATGGGTGACCTCCTGCATTTGTTTGCTGACATGTTCTCCATATTTGCCATATGGCCCAACCGTGCTGATCAATATAAACGTCTTCTTAGCAAGCTCACTCAACTCGGAATCATCTAGATCAGATATCTCAATATCTACGGGCAGTCAGCATAAAGGCCTGGGCAAGACGACTGATGGTTTCTCGAGGGTGCCGCTGCAACTCGAGGTGGAAAATGTAGACAAAGCAATGCTGGAATGATTTGTGACCAAAATTCTGATAGGTCATCAATACAACGGGTAGTAAGGTTGAAGAAGTGTCGTCGTAGAGATGTCCACCACTTGGCGGCCAATTGGCTGGGTCGAGCATGGCAGTAAGCACCTTAGAATCTGACGTACCGGGTTGTCTCCGATCTGTGTTCAATGATTTCAGTTCAGCCGCAATCTTTTCCAGCTTTTCTCGGGAGCGACCAGCGATTGCCCAATTCAAGTCGGTGGGAAGGCTTTTTGTTATGTATTCGGCAGCAAATCTGCCGGTATACCCTGGACGTGCACTTTCAGCATTTATAACTTGCGAGCTGCCACAAAACATACCGGTGGCTCCAAAAACCACAAGGTCGTACTTCCGGCCATGCGGCTTGGTAGGCATGATGGCGTGTTGTTTGTTTGATTTGGATTGGTCTTTGTCTGAATCGAAATGCCAATCTTACTTCAAGGGCGAAATCCTCTTCAGAGTGCTGTGGTGCTCAGGCTCACAATTATTAGGTAGTGCGGCGTGGAACAACTCAATATGGTCCTTGTGAAAAGGACTCATATAATAGGAATTAGACTGCCTGTGTGCTCCCGAACATACGTTTAAAATGTCTTGTGATGCATTCCAAGACATTGAAGCGCCTCTGTATCTATGGCTAGCTAAAGCAAGACGACTTCCCAGAATGAGCTTCCTACAACCCATCGAATCTAGACACTTAATCACCCTCTATTCTCCCAGCAAACAGAAAACATGATATGATGTTGCAATCCTCAGAGAGTACTTAGCGGTGGCTTAGCCTCCTGTTCTCTGTGTGGCGCTAACTCTCGAAGATCATTGAATCATTGAATCTGAGCTTTCGTGGAGATGGCATGATCGCTGCGTAACAAGCCTCAAGAAGCAGCCCTTGTGACCATAGTTGTGAATAAGTCGGTCCCGAGTCTCGGTGCTCTCTTACCTAATACAATTCAAATGGTCCGAGCGCAATATCGATAAGCTAAAGAGCTTTCGAAGCACGTGACTCTGAAATTGCAAGAAAGTGGGCGGATAAAAATCATCGCACCGTGCTCTACTAAATATCAGAGAGTTTTACCACAGAAACTGTTAGTAAGGCCGTGCGGCTCTTTTTCTCACAGTTTTTGAGCGCACAACGGGAGAAATTTAGCACAGGCTGCAAAACTCCAACGCCAACATTGACAACCTTCACAAACCACAACCGTCAAATCCACAGCCAAGATGACGAAGCGCACAAGTAAGTTGAAGGCTATGCACGTTGCACAATGAATCTGCCTGTTGCTTTACTCTGTGCCATTCTTCCCCTCCTCTTCGCAGCCTCTCGTCCCGGGATCTCGAGCTAATACATTGAACAGAGAAGGTCGGAGCCACCGGTAAATACGGTACCCGGTAAGAGATCCTCTTGACACATGCACGATTCGAGTCTGGCGATGGCGGTCCGGGTCAATTTGGGAGAGCAGAAGAGAGGTCGAAGTCGAAAGAAACGGGAGGGCAGATTTGTTCGAGGATCAATCTCGAAGTTGGTTGGAACTTCGGGCAGCCGATTTCCACCGTCCATGCCGCCGCCTACCAGAATGGGCCGTTGCTAAACAGGCCAAACGAGGGCATTTATTGCGCACAAAAGACGAAGGTGTTTATCGCATACTGTCCGACTCTATAGCAGGCGGATCGTAGGATCGATTTGACTGCGACCTTTTTCGCCTTTTACTCGGATGCTAGCCCTCTACCAATGAGTCGACCATCGGATGGATCTCTGTCGGAGCCTCAACATTGGAACTGAAGCCCCTCGCCAGACTCACGCCATGCAATTGTGTCAATCGTGGATATGAAAGTCAAGCTGACCAGCCATAGTTACGGTTCCTCCCTGCGAAAGGGTGTGAAGAAGATGGAAATCACCCAGCACGCCAAGTACACCTGCACCTTCTGCGGAAAGAACGCCGTCAAGCGTCACTCTACCGGTATCTGGAAGTGCTCTGGTTGCAAGAAGGTCACAGCTGGTGGTGCCTACACTGTCTCGTAAGTTGCGCTCCGACGGCACGAGAGGCGTGAACATGGGGATGGACACAGAAACTGACTGCTTGTGATTAGAACTCCTGCCGCTGCTGCTATGCGATCAACGCTCCGACGATTGAGGGAGATTGCTGAGGTGTAAGGGGTGGAAGGGGCATCTTGCTTTTTTAAACGGCATTTCCGGCTCGGTGTACAGGCAAAATGGTATTAGGACACATCACGGCTACGGCCACCTGGTCCTCGGCCTCTTGACGATAAGTCAATCAATAAAGAAGATAAAGCAAAACCTTCTCGGGTGTTTATATGTGCCTTTTTTGTGACGTCTTCAGATGTTGAGGTGTGATAGCATTCTGGCAGCTGAGGGGAGCAGGGGTGCCTCCCTATTGGCTGAATACTGTCCACAGGATGGCTGGATCATGAACTGTTTTCCAAAGCGTGGGATCCTATACGAGGGCATCATCTCACCTCATGAAATGTGAAATGCACTTACTCATCGATGCCTAGAGCAAGTATTTGTGTACACTCTCTACAGTATATTTGCTTGATTCGTGTAAAGGGTGGTTGGATTCTCTACATAGCTGGGAAGTCTGCGTATATATCCTGCGCACCCTCGTACCTCATAAGGGCGGATGTAGGCTGCTAGTAATTGGTTTTTCTTTGCAAGACGGAGAATCCTTGGTCAAGCCACATCTACCTTGGAGTGCTACTTCACACTTCACCAGGGGGATGATTCACTTCATCTGATTCTACCCGACAGAACCGTGGCTTCTTCTTCCAACCCCGTCAACCGCACACCGTTCCTTGCCTATTAGACCGAGCAGTAGGCGGCTTCCACCAGTCTCGCAGGAAGGTGGGAAGCGGCGAGACGTGGTTGGCCAGATTGCTTGCTCACAAGCGACTGGGACCTACGCAACAGCCCAGACCTGGAAGTGAAGGAAGGGAAGGGAGCGCAAGACCCGGCTCGGCTCCTCGTCCTCGTGCTGGGCAGTATGAGACTATCTCAAAGTAGGTACCTAAGGTAGGTAGGTCCCTCTCTGCTCCCATGTAACTCCTCTAATCAAAGAAGTATCTACCTACACAGCTACGTGGATGCAATGCATGCACCTTACTCGTTGACTCGCCTCGTCGACACTTGGAACTTCCAACCCTGTTGTGCTTACCACTTATCCCCCGAGCCCCCCTACCCTATCTGCATATCTCGTAACTGAAACGTTTTTGCCTCATTTCTCAAGCCAGCTAAAACACCACAGAGCCCAAGTTTGCCTCCCCGCCCGCAGGAAACAGTCATCTGGAATTCGCTGCCTAAGGCTGTCTCGGCTGTCCACCCTGCCACCCAAGTCCCACGTCGAGACTCTTCACCCTTTCCCGCCCTACATTGCATTTGCCATTTGCCATTTGCTACTTGCGGGTGACTCAGTAAAGAGGGTCGACGAGGCCCCAGCTTGCCCGGGCGGCGGGTGCATCGACCACTGAGCGATGCACGTTACCGCACATTTGGCAAGATTGGGCCTAGGGGGGTTTCGTAGGCTGTGCCTCCTACCTGAGTTAGGTACCTTAGGCTGTGGGCTGGCACGGAGCGAAACCAGCTGGCCTCCGTTCGGTTTGGTCTGGTTTGGTTTGGTGGGCGGTCTGGTGACGGACGGGCGACTGGTGAACTGGCAGACGCTTCTCTCCCTGGGCCTGTATTTGGGCTGGCTCCGTAATGCCTAGCTAGGTAGACTTAGACTTATCAGCATGCCCACGGGTGCGGGTGCAGGGTGCAGGTGCAGGTGCAGGTGTGCATGTGTGTGAACGAGCGAACAGAACAGAACGAAACGGATGAAGGTGCGGCAACCTCGCAAAGGAGCCAATTCGCTGCTGCTATTGCCTACAGACTACAGCACTGCTTTTTGTTACTTTGCTTTGCTTTGCTTTGCTTGCTTCCTCTCTCTTCTATGCCTCTTCTTCGCCTCCAGCTTATTATCTACCTGGCTTACCTTACCTGACCTGACCTAACCTGACCTGACTTGGCCTTACACGGGTACACCTATCCATACCTAGGTACACCATATTTCCTCTACCACCTGAAAGTGTCAGTCAATTGGGTATTCCTCTTTTCCTCGACGAAGATTGTCAAATTTTCACCTCCTGCCTGAACCAATAAGCAGACCGGCTTCCTCACGTCCCTGCCAACTTGATCTGTGTGTTTCCATCGGTCATTTCTGTGTTAGCAGGTGGCCCGGAACTGCTGGTTCTGTTCTCTGTGCACTGCCTGCCCTGAGGACTGCCCGAGGGACTTGACGGAGTGACTGCCTACCACCTACCACCCTTTTCGCTCTTCACCCTTCACCCTCAACCCTCCTCCCACACTGGCCACTGCCACTTTGCACCACCAACCCACCCACGCCAACGCCATCCTCCATCTCTTCACTAACACCCACCCGAACGAACCCTCGAAACATTCTACCACTTTTCCCTACCAAAACCTGACCTCATCCACCTCTCTACCTACCTACCATTCTCCCTACCTACCGCCCGCCTACCCATCCGCACGCACACAGAGGAGCCATCAACACTCCCCCCCAAATCTGCTTTCCCTCAACAACAAACGCGACTCAAAAGGACGTTTACATGTCTTCTTCAGCTGCAGACCATCTCCAAACGCTTCTTTTCATTCCGAATCGCCATTTGTGATGGCGGATCAATGCATTGTCTGTCTAGAAAACCTAGACGTAGCTGTACCGTCCCCACAATTGCAGTCTGCTACCACCGCCGCTACCACCACATCCACCACTGCCACTGCGTCAGATGTTAAGCAGGAGGAGACCACGCCTGAGCCCGCCACGCCCAGCACTGTACCCGTCAAGGAGGAGCACCAACATCACGACCACGACAACATTGCTGTCATACAAGTCTGTGGCCATGTGCTGCACGACTCTTGCTTGAAGGAATGGACTGCAAAGGCAAACAGTTGTCCCATCTGCCGCCAATCCTTCCATCTCGTGCAAGTCTATGACAAGGTTGGAGGTAAGCAGCAAATCCCCCCCCTATGTATACACCTTGCCCTTCAACTCTGTTCACGGCTAACGCAATTCTCCAACAGGAAAACTTCTATCCACCTACAAAGTCGAGGAGAAGAAACAAGTGGCCGAGTTCGATCCTCAAGCATGGCTGGACGAGAATCCAGAAGAGGAGGAGGAATCTACACCATGCCCCGTGTGCAGCTTGGCAGACCACGAGGATGTCCTGCTGCTCTGCGACGGGTGCGATACGCCGTACCACACGTATTGCATCGGCCTTGACAGCGTCCCCAGAGGCTCCTGGTTCTGCATGGAATGCCAAGATCTGCTTGGGGAGGAGATTGAGAACTCCCGCCCCTCCTTTCCTAGCACGAATGGACGCAATGGCTTCTTCCCGCGCACACAAGCCAGCATGCGAAGAGCACGCAACAGAGCTCGCTCAGACGAATGGCAGGGCGCGTGGGGTCAGGTTGCCGGTGCCATCTGGGACGCCATAAGTCTCGACCTTGACTCTCACGACGGCGACGATGCACTAGAGGAGTATCGACGTTCGCAACAACTAAGAGAGAGGGAGAGACGAGAGTATCAGCGCTGGCAACAGCGCCTGAATATCGCGAGTCGACTGGGTGTTCGCGACGTCTTTGCGAGGAATATCCAAGACGTCGTCGGCCAGCAAGTCGAGCCGCAGTCAACACCACAACCAACCCGAGAAAGTCGCGAGGAAAGACTGGCCTGGGGTGCTCTAGATAGAGCACGGGAGCTGGATGTTGCTAGCCCCAGCAATCGTAAGCGGAAATCTCGATCCGTTACAGCGTCACCAGTCGAGCCGGCGCCCGAACCTGAAAGGCGCTTAAAGAGACCGAGGACTCGGAGAGTCGCCGTTCAAGGCGAAGCTGGGCCTTCCAAGTCGCCCTCCACATCATCGAACAATCCTGACAGGCAGGCTCCTGGCCCGAGTGCTTTGTCCCCACCACCAAATGCCGATCGACCATCCTTCCTTTCGACGCTGCTTAAGGAGGTCGAGATGAGCACCCCGTCTGATGACGAAAATGTACGAAACTTCTTCGGACCCAATCCGCACCCTGTAGATCCTTCGTCGCCAGTCACGTCTACATCCGCCTCGGCTTACAACAGCCCCCGCGCACTTTCCATAACACCACCGCCGAATAACCGGTCGGCCTCACCTGTTCTCTCATTGAGCTCCTTTATTGAGCCAGTATACCCACCAGCAAACTATTCGCCGACAAGATCGAACGGAGAGACTAGTGACTCCGAAGGTCGGGCGCATCATAATGGTTTCGGGTCGCCAGAGCTCCGACAGCCTCGTCCAAGGCGACAGCATTCTCTGAGGCTTCCACGCTCCCAAGACACCTCCCCGACTCGTGCACCGCTGCCCTTAGAAATGAAGGAGAGCATCAGCAATGTAGTGCGAAGCGCACTCAAGCCACACTGGAAATCCAGCCAGCTCACGGCCGAGCAGTACGCGACCATCAACCGCGATGTATCCCACAAACTTTACGAAGAGGTGACAGACCCGGCCACCGTTGACGACGACGCCAGGCGGACCTGGGAGAAGATCGCGTCGAAAGAGGTGGCCCGCGCACTGGCCGAACTGAAAGCGTGATCACGAATCGAAATGCACAAGGAAGTTTTGTGTGTATGATGACGACGGACAAACGGCGTTTCACGAGACAAGGCGGTTGATCTGGTTAGATACCCGGCATACATCATTTGGATGGGGGGACACATTGGATTTTCTTTGGATCTAAGGAGATCCCTCGAGAGTTCTCGGCGTTTTGACAGCATATTTTCATCTTCGAGCGTATCAAGGCAGCGCTTTCAGGTAGACCGTTGGTATTCGGTTACATCGGAAGGCTGGTCGAGTCTCGGGGGTTCTGAGCCATTCGTGAGAAAGGCTGTGTATATAGCGACAGCTTTAGCCTTTGTTTATTAGGTAGCGTATGCTTCATCGCGGTTGAATGGACATTATTTGCATCTTCATTTGACACCAAGCGCCTCGCTGTTTCTGCGACCTAGCTGGCTAGCTTGCTTGAACCCTTAGTCAGTAAACGCATGAGAGATGGAATAGACAACAGTCTACTCCTGGAAAGGAAGAGAGAAAAAAAGGCATGTTTCACGGATATCCCATGGGTCGTGTCCCAGATTGAGGCGCCAAGCTTTGGGAGAGAAATGTGAGCAGAATCTATCTAACTGCAACCCGGTGGGATGAAGTTGGCCCGTTCCAGAAAGGAGAAGGCAACAGGTGCCGCTAGCGAAAAAAGACCGCTCTCTTCAAGGATCACTCTTGGCACTCGTAAATGGTCAGGACGTTCTGGAGGAACAGGTCCTGATGATAAGGAATGGTGCCTCTGGATTGGAGAGGGAAAAGAGAGAGAGAGAGGAAGAGAAGACGGCCCAGTGCAGCCGGAAAAGCAAAATGAATGAATGCCCTGTAGCGTAGCGCAGCGGGTGGCCCTGAGTCAGGTGACCTTCTGTGGTCCCATCGCTTCCATTGCACTGAGTGCTGTAAGGTTGGCGTGGGTTGGCCTGTGCTTGGGGGCAGATTCGCAGGGGCTACCTGATTCTCCGTGTTCCGCGCTACGTACCTGCTAGCTCTCGAAAAAGTTCACGGGTCACCTTAGAAGGAGTTGCCTCGAGCTCTTTTATATCTTCACGAACAGTGAGGCTCGAGGAAGTAGAGCGACAAAGACCCCTCACAATGTCGGCCTCGAGTAGAGGGAGACAGGCAGCATGGCCTCTGCTAAAAAGTATGTACTCCTAGTTGGAGCCTGCACACTTCTCTTCACCCACCTGCTAATGGCTTCCACCCAGGGTCTTCCCAAGTCTGTTCCCAGTGTGCACGAGGGCAATTCAGGCCAGCCGCTCGCTTCTACTCAGCAGTAGCCGTCCCCGTCGAGACGAGCACGCCGCCGCCCATTGAACCCGTCAGCACATCCTCCATGCCGGCGCCCACGCCAAAGGCTGTCTACCGCATCAAGTCGGGCATCATCCTGTCGCGGCCGCCGATCCTCACGCAGCCGCAGACGCCGTTCGAGTCGGCCTTCTACCTGTACCAGAAGCGGCTGAACGAGCGGGTGACCGCGCCCTTCTCCAAGAAGTTCTACTTCAAGCGCGACACGGCCGTCGAGCTGGACTGGAAGATCAAGGTGCGCGAGCGCGGCACCGTCGCCAAGGAGACGGGCGGCTACACGGGCGGCCGGAGCGGCGCCGCCCCCTGGGAGGACGAGGTCCTCGTCGGCAGCGAGCTGGCGGACCCGGACGTCGTGCGCGCCACGCTCGTCCGCGACGCCGAGCTGCGCGTCAGCGAGGACGGCGAGGAGCTGAGCGTCGAGGACCGCGTCCGCGTCGAGCAGCCGCTGCCGAGGGAGACGAAGGCGGACCGCAAGAACGACGTCAGGAGGCTGGACCGCAAGCTCGACCGCACGCTGTACCTGGTGGTCAAGGGCAAGGATGGCTCGTGGGGCTTCCCGGCCGGAGACATGAGCACTGAGGAGACGCTGCATGTGGTACGTTCTGACCCCTTGCAATACGTATCGATCATTTACTGACTCCCTCCAAAGGCCGCAGCAAGAGTCCTCGCCGAATCGGCAGGCGTGAACATGAACACCTGGATGGTTGGCCGTGTCCCGGTCGGCCACGTGGTCAACAAGCCCGTCTACAAGGAGGACGGCACCTCACTGCAGAAGAAGGGAGACAAGATCTTCCTCCTGAAGGGCAGGATAATGGCCGGCCAGGCTGACCTGAAGGATAACAAGATGGGACTGGTCGATTTCAAGTGGCTGACCAAGGAAGAGCTGGAGACGGAGCTGGATCCCCACTACTACCACAGTGTACGAAATGCGATGGTCGGACGGTAGAAGGAGAGGCTAGATGCCTCGTTAGGCTTGTGTACAATATCACCTGTAATACCGTCACGCGGTTGGATGTATAAACTCTGTAGCGGCTACGCCCTCTCGCCATTATCATTGTCGCTACTATGGCAGCAGCCTGAGTATTAGACTAGTTGTATATCTTATGGTTATCACCAGCATATCCTGCTCTCCTCGCCGCCGTACCCCTGAAGAAAGCTCAAGGGGCGTCGCGAACGATCTTACATCAACTTGAAACTATCTCTACATCGCCGATGTGGCAAGCCACTAATATTTATCTCGCCTTGGATCTAGGCTTACTTAAGTCAGCCCACTATAGCGGTTTCCTTGACCGCCGTGTGACAAGGAAAGTGAGGGTGTTAAAAGAATGACCGGCGACCGCATAATCGGAATCGGTTGTTCCCGGCAACCCACGACCCCCAACACTATCAAGTACATGTGTATATATAATGGCAGCGAGCAATATACAAGCTGGGGGACAAATGAATGTCAGTGCCCATCATAAAGAGGACGAGTCACCCGGTAGACAACAACCTCCTGGCTGATCCGCGATGGTATCCAAGGAATCAGAATTCAGCTCAATGGGGTGTAAGTGACTATAGGTAGGAATAAAAATAAAAATGAAAACTTTGATCCGCATAAATGTATATAAGTGATAGGCCCAAGTCTAGCTTGGATGCTCTCATTCTCTCACTCTCTCATTCTCCTCATCGGAGACCGTCTCAGCCTGCAAATCTTGACTACTGCCAGATATTGATGCGAGATCTCACTTTGATAGGCGATACCGATATTTATGGAGTTCCGGACAGAGTTTGGTGGGATATAATAGAGTTTTTCTGGGGCATTGTCGAGGCGATTGATGCGGCCCCTGACCTACTTCTCCTCTTCCTTGGTCTCGGGCAATCAGGTAGCTCGCACTCGCAAAGTTATGGCCCTCGCTTCCTAGGGCGTTGTACGTTGCTGTCCGGAACTAGCTCGGCACATCACCCAATCGCGTGTCTTCTCGTTGTGGTAGTTGAAGCGTGTTTACGATCAGGGCCTCGTCTTCCGTGGCCAATGTCTTCTTCGGGAGGACGCTGGTTACTGGTTATTTGGTATTCACCACACGCAGGAAGCAACCTGTGTATTTGCCTCTCAAAAGTCTGTAATGTAGTTGGCACACATCTAACTGAATGTTTGATAACGAAAGCATAGATTATTGAACGATTTTGCAAATAATGAGTATGAGCCGGTCAAACGAACGTGTTCCGTGATATATAATACTCTTCATCGACAAAGTGGTGATAGGCTTCCACACAATCCTCCTGGGTAAAGTTTGGAAGCTGAGGGATGGCATACCTGTGTTAAATGTCTTGGAGCTTGTGTCTTTGAAGGGACAGTAAAGCTTGAAGGAGAATATGACGCTTCGGTCAAGATTCTGCGCCACAGTATCTTTGTGTGTTGTCGAACAAAATATAGGGGTTGTGACAATATTGTGTTCTGGTTTCATGTGCTTCTTGAACGAAGTCAGTCTTGTCTGTCAAATCTACCACAGTCTCCATCCTGTAGCTAAAGAGTACTGGTATGACAAATCTCAGACAGACATAGTGCAAGTGGTATGAAGCCATCTCGGTTCACGGATTAGACCATGAAGTTGTAAGGTGATTGCATTTAGGGACTCGGAAAGGATGGATAATAGGATGGACCAAAGAGTAAATCTGGATTCCAGAGGCTCTATATGTACAAAGTCGATGGGTAGACTGAATGGCTCTCATCAAGGCTGCCTCATCTTGCTGCTGTCTTTGCTTGCTTGTTTGATAATCGGATAACCACAGGTGCTTTACTTGACAGACAATCCGAACTCAGCATGTGCTTGTACTTGTCACGATAGGAAGTGATTGCAACATTGTTTTTTTTTACGTTCTATAATATTTAATGATCTCCCATTGACTGTTTGTGGCCATGGTCGTCGTGTAAGCAATCACCTAGCATATTGCCTTTGCAGTGGTAGGTGACCATCTCGGTAGAGACAATCCCATGTTGGACGACTATCCCAAACAAATCCTGGGATACTAGAGGTTTGTCCCCAAGAAACATTAGGTTTGTACAAGCAACTCACATGATAGCGGTCCTCCATACTGCTGCATGATGAATGTTATAATGAAGCATCATGGAACGGCACAGACTGCTAGAAAGGGACGTTGATATCCGGAGTGTTTTAAGACAGGGGTACCATTTAAAGATCTCCGAGCATGCTTAGCACCTTACCTTTCCCAGAGAACTAAAGGTTGGGGATGATGGGGTGGAAAGAGGCTAGTGAGGTACGGAAATTCTGAGCCTAGGGTCGCCTGCTGAGAAAGTATAGCTCTAGCGCAGACCAACAAAGTGGTGGTATTAGCCCACCCCACTGCCAGATACCGAGGCTAAACAAGCTGTAATCACCGAAAAATGTGCTGTGAGGTCAGCAGCACATGTGTCGTGCCGGCCACTGGCATTTGATACGATGCGCGTCGAGGGAGCCGTCTTTCCACGCCAACTCCTGTCATAAATGAAGGCTCCATCCGCCCTCACATCCCGTCAATGCTAGTGTCGACGTTTCGGAGGATTCAACAATGGCATTCAACGGCTCGTCGTACACGGCGACGCTGAGCCCATCCGCGAGCGAGAGCTTCCCATCACCGCATATGCTCTCGTCTTCCATCTCATCGCTCGCCTCGGCCTCCTCGGCGCGGCATTCCTCGTCGCACATATCTAAGACATACCGCCAGGCGTCAACCCTCTTCCTGACGCGTCGGCTGCCGGAGGCTCTCTCAACTATTCTCCCCATCGTCACACCGCCGCAAGCAGCTGGAGAGGGAGAAGACTATATCGCTGCGAATGGGGCCACAGAGCCGCCACCCGTCGCTAGAGCCTCACGTACCACGAGGATCAAGGTCTGGAGCCTGTATCTGACGATCTTGAATGCCATCGTCGAGCTGGATCCAGACGAGGGAAAGCAAGCGTTTGGGACGCAGGAATGGAGGTCGCTCTGCAACAAGGTCCGCGAGGGTGAAGTGTGGGAGGAGGTTATTCAGAACGGCTATCACGGAGTTGAGGGCAATGTTGATTCCGATGTCGTCATCAATCTGGCAACGCTGCTACTTGCACATGCGAGAACCCAGGTCCTGAATCAGAAGCGGCTGGAGAACTATCTCGCCGCATCCACAACGCCAAATTTGGATCTCGCCAGTCAATTCGCAGGGGCCACTACTCCCCGCTCCTTCTCCAGGAATAGGTCATCGTCCAAAGCTAGGAGCGGCGCGGACACGCCACGGGATTTAAATGCTCGTGTCAAGATCTTGGAGCTCTACACGCTTCACGTTCTATTAAGGAATAATGAATGGGATTATGCTCGAGAGTTTATCAGCGTCAGCTCAGTGCTTGATGAAGAGCGAAGAGAGGCCTTTCTGCAAGCGCTACAGAGTCTGCAGGAGGAGCAACAAGAAGCAGATCGCAGAGAGAGGGAGGAACGTCAGAGACAGGAAGATGAACTTCGTCGGGACGTGGAAGAGGCTCGGAGATTGAGGCGAGAGAATGAAGAGCGAGAAAAGAGAAGGCTAGAAGCGGAGCGAGCCAAACGAGAGGGTAGCGAGGTTGACTACGGCATTGAGAAGACGCCGAGCACCGCAGGTTCCAGTAAAGGCCGGCATTCTCGAACACAGTCCAATTCTTCGAGACCATCTGGGCCTAGGACAAAAGCTCAAGCACCTCAAGCGAACAGTAAGGCTATCGCTGCCCCAACCTTAAGCACAAGAGCCGCTCTCGCTTTTTCAAACATACGAGCGCTTGTTGAACGGATGGGAACTGCTTTTCAGTCAAATCCCATGCTTTTGATGCGGTTGATTGCATTCATCATGGGACTTGTTCTCATGTTCGGAAAACGTAGCATCCGGGAACGCATAACACGCATACTAGGAACAGGATGGAACAAAGTCAGAGCCACAGCTGGCATGGGAGTCAAGGTTAGCTACATTTGATGCTGCTTGGAAGCAAGGATCTGAAGTAGCGGGAGTGAGACCCATGTATTATTCTTTGCATCTAGTCGAGAGGATCGGCGTTATCCTCCTTAATGTTGTACAATACAAGCATTACATGACCAGACTTGAGTTTAAGTGTCTAATGCGTCAATCTGTCGTGACCACCGAGCCGACTTCAATGTCTTAAAAATGCCATTACCCAACACAACAAGCCCAACAACGCCATGAAGAATTTTCGTGTCCGACAAACACCGGCATAAATGCATTACGAAAGAGAACGCGGCCATACCCAGGCCACCACTTCGCTAATATGTCCGATTCGTTTTCTTTTGGTAGAATAACTGCGAAGGCTGTCAGTATTTGAGCTGCAATATAAGCTGGACGAAGAAGACTCACGTCTGTTCTCGAACTACCCAGATTTATAATCTTGGGACAACCGTCTCTGTCCTTCTCGAGCCGCGTACACTCGAAGCAGTAGAATGCATCCGAAATGCCCTCGCCGCCGCAGACGACACACTTATTTTGGTAGTTGCCAAAGCTGCACTCGTCGCATATCCTGACGAGGGTCGTCGGGCGCACGTAGGAGTCGCACACGGGGCATTTGCCGTCGCACTTGTCGCATAGCCGGCCGATGGCGATGCCGGCTTGCTTTCGGCACATTACTAGATCTCTGCCTAGGATGTTAGTCCTGCTCGCTATGCGATCAAGTGGGCGGGGAACTTACGGATGATGGCGAGACATGATGTACTGGCCTCAGGGAATTGGTTGTGTGTGATAAGGCGGAGAGTGAGAATATCGAGGCGGCGGGCCCTTGCTTTTATGGACGGAGGGTTGTCGAGGGCAAGTTTTCGCGATTGCTCAGCCTTTCAGCCTTGCGCTCTAGGCCACGAATATTCTGGATAATTCGCCATTTGCTTTGACTAAGATTTAGTGCACTATCATATTGTCACAGTTCTCGTACGTATATTAGCTAGAGATATAGCGTGCTTTATTCATAGCCGATTTATGCAAGCTGTGGGGTAGCATAATTGGCGACATAAAGCCAATCACAGCTTGCTTGGCCAGGTAAGGTAGGTCGTACCTAAAGAAGCCTGCCGCCTCGAGAATCTGTAGGCAGTCGCATTCTTTCGAAGCTACTGTACCACAAAATCCGATATAGAGAAATGTGCGACAAACAATAGGACCTATAGATATCCGCCTTTTGCACAAGTCTCCGACTTCAGCGGATGGTCTCGCACTCTCCCAATCTGCCCAGCATAAGCATACCAATATCATGTCGGCAGGTGTTGCGTAAGTGGACGGATCCGCGTGGAAGAGCTCCATTGGCTGACCAGGTCTAAAGATCCCCATCCAGGGCCGATGCACCCATCCTGGAGCCCCCATCACCCACGGCAAATCTCGACAAGGTGCAAGGTACCTCGCAGAAACGGAAATCTATATCTGAATCACCTCCTCCTGCGGAAGAGTCGAGCTCAAAGCGAGTGAAGCTAGACGGCCAAGACGGCGGACGACAGAGCCCACAAGAGTCGCGCAGAGACAGAGATGTATATAGGAATGGAAGGGATACAGGCAGGGAAGCTCACGATGACCATTCTCGCAAACGCGACGCCTCACCGCGTAGGTCGCGAGACGAACCGAGGAGGGAGTCCTTCACCTCAACAGGAGATCGATCGGGGAAGTTCTCTACCGAGGAGAAGAAGCGTGGGCAGCGATTATTCGGCGGTTTACTGAGTACACTAAGTCAGACCACGAGCAATTCGCAACAGAAGAGACGATTAGAAATTGAGCGCCGACAACAGGAGAAAGCCCACCAGCAAAAGAGAGAAGACGATAAGCGCAGGGCTGACAAGCTTTCCAAGCTCAACACTGTTCGCAAAGTTGAGCAAGTCAAATTTGACGAGCAAGTTGTACGTTTCATCGTTCTGCCTCTAATTGCGAGAAACTGACCTTGACTTATAGATGCGAACCCGCCATTCCAACATGCGAGCCATGGCCCATAGTCTCCAAACAAGGAGTGAGCCAAAACTGGTATGTCTCAGGCTAAGGGCTACTCTCGTTACGATCTGACAAGCGCTGACCAATTCCGCAGTTCTACCGCCCCTGGGAGCTCACAGCGGCTCAGGAGGACAAGATACAAGATCAGATCCGAGATACTGAAGCTGACATTGCGGACGAAGTCCAACGGTTCAAGCGTCGCAAGGAAGCGAGACTGAAAGACTTGGGCGTAGAGTTCCCGCCCGAGTCGAGCGATATGGTCGGTGACCCCGTTGATGATCGTTCTAACGATGCACAAGCTGGTACTATAGATCACCGCCCTGTCGCTCAACCACCCAAGATTGGTCATGAAAAGGACCACGACGAGGATGTTATGGTCGAGGCAGAGGAGGACACGGTAATCTACTAACTTGCTTCTGCCCTTCCCTTCCCTTTCGTTCTCGTTTTGTATCACTTATGTATACCCTCTTGCGCAAGCCGCCTTCTAGTGCCCGGCGCCTTTTGACGAAATGATGACAATTGAGGGCGGCTACGGCTCTAAGGGGTGAATGCCAATTCATAGCGATGCGTGATTCTTCCGTCATCGCAGTGACAGCTTAATTCACAGGAGGCTAGTGAAGCGGTGCATTATATCAGTATACTTCCCACAGTATGTTGGAAGTGCAATTTAGCATATATTATGAATATCCGAGTGAACAGATGTTCTTTTACCTTTGACCAGTGAGCCAAGCGACCAAGTTCTGTATAGAAGATACCTTTAGAACTTTATGATGTTTGAAGAGCGTGTCAATCGTTTCCTCCGTGCAATCCTCCAGTTTAGCGATGTCAGTGGACTGGTCCCCTTCGTCAAGGAGCACAGGATTCCAGCCTGCGTTCTTGGACCCAACAATGTCCTTGGCATATTCATCGCCCACGTACACTTTCCACCACGTGCCAAGATCCTCGCCGGTGCTAGATGGGTCTTTGCTATCTCGCATGGTGACAATCTGTGCGAGCATCAGCTCTGCGGCGTCGAAGATCAGCCTGTCTGGCTTTTCGACGCCGACATCGTATGACATGCAATGAAAGTCAATGTCATAGGTCTGTCCCGCGACTACGCTAGGATCTATATCAATTCCGTATCGCAAGGGGCTCACGTTGAGTCCGAAAGACGACAGGACACTCGGCACTCGATCATCAGAGTTTGTGATCACTCCAATGATGACTTGATCGAAGCTTCTGTGAGATTTTCCTTGCTTTAAACATCTGAGCGTAGATATGAGGTTCGGTTGAGCGTCATATCCTTCCTTAGATGAAAAGCGATGAAGCAACTTGGGCACTAGGTCTTGAGGTAGGCTCTGGTCTGTGCCAATGAGAGGCGTGAAAGTATTATGAATGACCTGAACTGAGATTAGTTGATAAACATTGTCTCTTCCCAAGTCGGCAGGCTAAGTACGATCCTGAACGTACATTCGTCCACCATTTAGTTGCCCCTAAGCCAGTCGCCTTGCCATAATTGGGGTTCTGCTTCATCTCACTCTTGATTGCCGATTTCAGAGACGCGTGAAGCTCATCATCGCTAAAGCCAGTGATGCCACATTTACGGGCCACCTCGGCGTATTGCTGGCCAGGTAGGTGTCGCGGCTTGAACAGAGTACCGAATGCGTCAAAGCATAGGAGAAGGTTGGGTCTCGCCATATTTGGGCCGCGAGGTTTGACTACTCTATGCGTGCGACAGGTGCAAGAAGATCATCTTGATGAGCGTCTGAGGCTCTTAATAGCCAATAGTCCAGACCGCAGCACTCGACTTGGTCTCTGATATTGTTGTCACTGAAGTCTATGCCGTGTCTCCTTCCACCCTTTCCACAGACTTGAATGCAATAAAACAGAATCGAGAGGAAAGACACTCAGTGTTTAAAGGATAGCTTCTCTCTGGCTTAACAACGAATTACATTAACCTCGTAGATGCACCAAAAACGTTTGGGGGCTTAAGAGACAGCACACTCGGATGCAGTTGTTGTCAATGCAAGCTTGGTTCGTGCTCTCACTGACTGCTGTAAGTGCCGCACAATGCCCCCACAGTGGTCCCTCGGGATCTTGGCTCGCTTTGTCTAATCGATCGATGCTAAAATGCGAGCTTCGGTACCTGAAATGCGGGCCTCGGACTGCACTATCAGTTACCTAGCAATCGCATTCTACTTGAACATAAAATTATTACCAGGCTGTTTGCTTTGACCTGTATGCTGGTTTGATATATTCAATTGTGCCGTGCTTTTGCGTGAGGAAGCGGCACGACCTGTAGGCTACCTTGTCAGCGAGTCGACTACAATTCGTTGGCTTGCAACTAGACGATTCAAACTCCTTGTAGACCTGTGATCCATGGAATCTATCCATTTTAGACTAGGATTCACGATTATCTGACCGATAGTCTAAACTAATCGCTGTAAAATAGTCGAAAGTGTAATGGGTGTTTGGGAAGTTTGAAGCTGCGGCCGCCGGTTCCCACCATTACGATGGATAACTGTGGGGGAGTTTACGACATGGCTTTTCAGATGCCTCGGCGCAACTCGCAACGGTCACACCTTGCAACGGGGCAGCTTTTCCAAGGTTGCTCAAATACCTCTAGTTTCCACTTGTCGTATCTTTCCCTTTGTGATCTGCTTCGTGAATCGTTTTTGCACGAGCTCAATTGGGTTTCTCTATATTTAGCTCAGGATTTCTACTCGCAGACTGTTGCTTGGCCGAAGATATCTTGACTATATCGCCACTTGAAGTGTCGTGAGTTCATCTTATTGGACTAACTATAATAACAAACAAACTGATTATGTTCAGACTTCATACACGCCGATCCATCACCAGCTCCCAACCTCGTGAGAGTCCCGAGTCATATCTATTCTTGCCGCCAATATGGAGGTTGATAAACTCGAACCAAACGATCCTCGTGTAGAGTCCCTGACTGCGACCGTCCGTGGAAAGACCTACCACTACCTACTCGGCAAGCCCAAGGGGCCTCAAACCGGCACCGTTGTACTCATTCACGGCTGGCCAGACCTCTCCTTCTCATGGCGGTATCAAGTGCCGTTCCTCCTCTCCATGAACCTCAGGGTCATCGTCCCAGACATGCTCGGGTATGGACGAACCGATGCGCCCCAGGAAATCGAGAAGTATTCCTTCAAGTCTACCGGCGACGATATTGCCGAGCTGCTTGGGCAGGTGTGCCCGGGTGAGCAGATCATCCTGGGCGGCCATGACTGGGGCGGCAGCTTTGCGTGGCGCTTCGCGCTATGGCACCCCGAGCTCCTCAAGGCGGTCTTCAGCATCTGCACTCCGTACAACCAGCCGCTGCCCGTCTACGTGTCGCTGGAGCAGCTGGTCGAGCGCCTGCCCAACTTCCGGTACCAGCTGCGGCTGGCGGGGCCGGACGCCGAGCGCGAGATCGTGACGCCGCAGCGCATCCGCGGCTTGCTGTCCGGGCTGTACGGAGGCCGGGGCCCGGAGGGCGAGATTGGCTTCACCGTGGCGGAGGGCCCGATCTTTGAGAACCTCGAGAAGATTGAGAACAGCCCGATCGTCAGCAGCGAGGACATGGACTACTACGTGCAGGAGTACTCGCGCAACGGCATGCGCGGCCCGCTGAACTGGTACCGCACGCGCAAGGTCAACTACGAGGAGGAGGTCGCGCTGCTCAAGGACGGCCCGCCGCGGATCCACGTGCCGTCGCTCTTCATCAGCGCCACGCGTGACCCGGCGCTGCTGCCGGCGCTGTCCGCGGGCATGGACAAGCACTTTGACAACCTGACCAGGGCCGAGGTCGACAGCCATCACTGGGCGCAGTGGGGCGCGGCAGAGGATGTCAATGCGCATATCAAGAAGTTCGTGCAGAGTGTTTTGCAGATAGGTCCTGTTAAGTCTTCTATTTAGGTAGTTGAGAACTAAGGTTGATTTGTGTCCTGTTCCATCTCACGGACGTGTCCGTGTCATCGCCCGTGACCATCAGTCTGATATCGCTTCCGATAGCAGGACACGACATGGCGATAATTTACATATCGGACTTCTTGCCAGACCTCTCCAGCGCTTCCAGTTTGGGCATAAGAGTTCTCGAACTTTTGATCTTTCAACCTAAACGCGACCTGATGTTGAGTATGCAGGATTTTCTAATCTCTACCTTCAAGAAGTAGAAGACCTCGTTCCAGTAGCATATCCGAGTCACTTGATGGATGACTATACCGCTACAAGCCTGATCGGAGAATCCTGAGTTTTTCTGTGCGAGAGTACGCAGTAGTTACGTATGTCAGTACAGAAACTTTGGAGGAGCCTGCGTCAAGGCAGGAATCCTCTACGCCTTCTCCAGCCTGTTGTCTTGCATAAAAGCTTGAGTCTCGATCACTTTAGAGTGAACTTCGCTCCTGACACCACAGGGACGCCCGCCTTGGTCTTTGTGCTGGACTTTCCACACATAGCACAGACTGTAACACGTTAGCCTCTATTGAAACGGGTCGATACCTGAGGGAGCACGTACTATTCGCTTGATAGGCGCATTTATTGCAGTACGAGTGACCCTGAGAGATCTTCGTCTTGCATTTCGTGCAGGAGCTGGAGTACTGGGCGTAGGGATTCTTTGCGTTCTTGGACAGCAGCTTGCTCTTGCCGATGCCGGTCTGTCCTAGAGTTGCCGACTTGGTTCCCGAAGCAGACGAGGACGAGGATGCGGGTGAGCCGTAGTACATCTCGCTCTTCTTCTTTACTCCCGGAGTGGCGAGGGTGGTCCCTTTACCCAGCTTCTGGCACTTGTTGCAGACCATTTTTTTTTTTTGTCACTCTGGAGTCCTTCTTCCTCTGGACTAGATAGTGTGAAGAGCGAGGCGTTGACGCCGTATATCAAGTGAGAAGATGCGGAGATGTCTTAGCACAGGTGCAAGGCTGAATTGAAGCTGATAAGAATCGATGAGGCGAGAGGCAGGCGTATCTTCTTCGTATCGATAGATGAGTGGCTGGTGGCAACGGCGCGTGCAAACTAGCACTCAATGTTAGGGATTGGGTGTGATGAGCAGTGTGGATCCTAACAGCTTGCTGGTACCTTAACGCAGTACGTGGCCCGCGTGGCTGCAGCCTCTGTGCGATTGGATACTGCGGAGTGGGGAGGTGAAAGCCCGGGGGGCCGAGCATTTATAGAAACATGCTACGTAAACTAAGGTACCTACCTAGGTAGGCTGGTAGTACCTAGGTAGGTACAGTAGCTGTGACGTCCACTGGCATTTGGGCCCCCTGACGGGTACCAACCACACCAATCTCCATATCTCAGGTACCTACCTACCTTGGGCAATGGCATGCCCAGCAACGCCTAGCCACCCGAAACTAAGGTAGCAGCCTTCAGCCCCCCCTGAAGCTCTCCCCCATTGTGTTTCCCTACGCAAGATGTGTTAGGAGGCACAGGTACCGGTATTCGTATAGACGCTCTATCATCTTCAAACATCTCCAGCGGGAAGATCGCACGGGCGCATTGCGAGCCGTCTTCTTTCTTCATTGCTGCAGTTGGTTATCCAGTCTCCTGAATTGCGCCTCATTGTTGCCAACCTGAGGTACCCATTCACCAGCAGCAAATCATCAAGAAACGCGGAGGTCACCTTAAGACTTAAAAGTGAGGTAAAGAGCTTGTTACAGCACGGGGCAGCTCCGTAATCCCGGCCTCCAGCACCTGTGCTTGCTTAGGTACCTACGCGTAGGTGGGCCAAAACGAAACCAAGCAACCTTTTAGGTACCGTACCGAGCGTACCTCCTACCGGTACTCTACACGCCTGCGCCAGAAAAAAAGAGGCTGTGCATCAATACGACAGCATCCTAATTCCTCAAACTCGTCACCCTCTTTCAGCTGTCCGACACCACAGACGGCCTTCTTTATTCCCAAACGCTCAACCGGCCGGCCCTCCGTGTTTCCTTCCTTCATCGTGCCATTGATGCAATCGCCGCTGCTGTCGCCGTTGCCGTAAACACGCCGTTCCGGATGCCGCTGCTTCCCGCATCGTCGTGACCTTGAACCACCTCGAATTGCCTGCCAATCCCGCCAGGATGGCTGGCAGACCCGGAGGCTACTCCAACCAGCGCAATGATCTCCTTCTCGACCTCGAGGATGAGCAGCCCGTCTATGGCGGAGGACAGAGATCAACGATGAACGACGATGACCTGCTACGATCCTACACAAAAGACCAGGACGAATCCCAATCACGACCATCCGTGTCTTACGACGACTTCATCGGCGCCGGTCAGACAACCCATCCATCCGCAAAACCCCCACCCGGCGCATCTCCGAGACAAAGAGGTCCGTATTTCGAAGAGGGAGAGAGGCAATACAGCCAGACGTCAGATCTGGGCAATTACCAGAGATACGCTGACGACCTGGACGACTACCCGGACGACGGGCAATCTTACTATCAAAGTGGAGGGCGATTGGGCACAGGAGGCTCTGCCGCCGACGGAAGACAAAATGCGCGACAAAGGAATAGCATCCTCAGCTTGGGAGGAGGCTTCCTGGGGAGGGCCAAGAACGCCCTCGGGATGGGCCAGGGCTATTCAGAGATGGACCTACCTCTCACGGAACCGGGAGGACAAGGACAAGGACAACGGACAGACTCTGGCGGGCTGGAGCCGCCACCACAACAGAAGTCTAACAAGAAATTTGACATGGGCAACTTCAAGTTCGGGTTTGGACGAGGCAAGCCTGATCCGTCGACATTGGGGCCTCGTATCATACATCTGAATAACCCCCCTGCCAACGCTACCAACAAATACGTCAACAACCAGGTCTCAACAGCGAAATACAATGTTGCGACTTTCCTACCGAAGTTTCTATTCGAGCAATTCTCCAAATACGCCAACATCTTCTTCTTATTCACCGCCGGTCTGCAACAGATCCCCGGTCTCTCCCCGACGAACAAATATACAACCATCGGTCCCCTCATTGTCGTGCTAATGGTGTCCGCTGGTAAGGAGCTTGTAGAGGATTACCGGAGAAAACAAGCAGACAAAGCATTGAATATGTCGAAGGCGCGGATCCTACGAGGCTCCTCTTTCGTCGAAATGAAATGGACTGATGTCGCAGTGGGTGACATAGTGCGAGTCGAGTCAGAAGAACCATTCCCTGCCGACTTGGTTCTCTTGGCTAGTTCCGAGCCGGAGGGTCTATGCTACATCGAGACGGCTAACTTGGACGGAGAGACGAATTTGAAGATCAAGCAGGCCATTCCGGAGACATCATCATTGGTCAGCTCCAGCGAACTTGGCCGGTTAGGAGGCAAGATTCGTTCAGAGCAGCCCAACAGTAGCTTGTACACATATGAAGCTACCTTGACCGTTCAGTCCGGAGGCGGAGAGAGGGAACTGCCGCTCAACCCGGAGCAACTCCTACTCCGTGGCGCTACCCTTCGAAATACTCCTTGGATCCATGGTGTGGTAGTATTCACCGGTCATGAAACGAAGCTCATGCGAAATGCTACTGCCGCCCCTATCAAGCGAACCAAGGTCGAGCGCCAACTCAATATGCTCGTGTTATGTCTTGTGGGAGTGCTGCTTGCTCTAAGTGTGGTCTGTACCGTTGGAGATCTAGTCATGCGTAAAGTGGAAGGTGATGGGCTGGATTATCTTCAACTGACCGCGACCAACTCGGCTGGCAAGATTGCCGAGACTTTCCTGCGGGACATGGTTACATACTGGGTCTTGTTTTCGGCTCTTGTGCCAATCTCCCTGTTCGTCACACTTGAACTCGTCAAGTACTGGCACGGTATCCTTATCAACGACGACTTGGATATCTACTACGACAAGACAGACACGCCTGCGAACTGCCGAACCTCGAGTTTGGTCGAAGAGCTTGGAATGGTTGAATACGTCTTTTCGGACAAAACGGGCACGCTGACCTGCAATATGATGGAGTTTAAGCAGTGTTCTATTGCCGGAATTCAGTACGCAGACGAAGTCCCGGAGGATCGTCGAGCAACGATCGAGGACGGTGTCGAGGTGGGCATCCACGATTTCAAACGACTTCGCGAGAACCTTAAAACTCATGAGAGCGCCCCTGCAATCGAGCACTTCTTGGCATTGTTGTCTACCTGTCACACTGTCATTCCTGAGAGAGATGAGGAGAAGGGCGGGAAAATCAAGTATCAAGCTGCTTCCCCTGACGAGGGTGCTCTGGTTGAAGGTGCGCTTATGCTGGGCTATAAATTCACGAACCGCAAGCCGAGAGCTGTCATCATCGAGGTCGAGGGACAAGAGTACGAGTATGAGCTTCTTGCCGTCTGCGAGTTCAACTCTACTCGAAAGAGAATGTCGGCAATCTATCGCTGCCCAGATGGCAAGATTCGCTGCTATTGCAAAGGCGCTGATACCGTCATCCTGGAACGCCTGAATGAGAATAACCCGCATGTCGAGGCCACTCTTCGCCACCTAGAGGACTATGCGTCGGAAGGTCTACGAACACTATGTCTTGCCATGCGTGAGATTCCCGACCACGAGTTCAAGGAGTGGTGGGCCATTTATGACAAAGCCCAAACCACAGTGTCAGGTAACCGTGCAGACGAACTCGACAAAGCCGCAGAGATCATCGAACACGACTTCTTCCTTCTTGGAGCGACCGCTATCGAAGATCGCTTGCAAGACGGCGTGCCTGAAACCATCCATACGCTTCAGCAGGCTGGTATCAAGGTGTGGGTCTTGACAGGTGATCGCCAGGAGACAGCCATCAACATCGGAATGAGCTGCAAACTGCTGAGTGAGGACATGATGTTGCTAATTGTCAACGAGGAGAGCCCCGCCGCGACTCGTGACAATATCCAGAAGAAGCTCGATGCCATCAGGACGCAAGGTGACGGGACCATCGAGACGGAAACACTGGCTTTGATTATCGATGGCAAGTCTCTGACGTATGCTCTCGAGAAAGACCTGGAGAAGCTATTCCTTGATCTTGCTATAATGTGCAAAGCGGTCATATGCTGCCGTGTCTCCCCTCTTCAAAAGGCTCTGGTCGTCAAGCTGGTCAAGAAGTATCAAAAGGAATCGATCCTCCTTGCCATTGGTGATGGAGCGAACGATGTGTCGATGATCCAAGCAGCGCACATCGGTGTCGGTATCAGCGGCATGGAAGGTCTCCAGGCGGCACGAAGTGCAGACGTGTCAATTGCGCAGTTCCGATATCTTCGAAAACTTCTCCTTGTTCATGGTGCATGGAGCTACCAGCGAGTGAGCAAGGCTGTTCTTTACTCGTTCTATAAGAACATCACGCTGTATTTGACACAATTCTGGGTAAGTATGACTCTTCGCGGTACGGAACTGTTGTTAACAAATCGTAGTATACTTTCCAGAACGTGTTCTCGGGTGAGATCATCTACGAGTCGTGGACATTGTCCTTCTACAACGTTTTCTACACCGTGTTACCTCCTTTGGCCATGGGTATCCTCGACCAGTTCATCTCGGCTCGTCTTCTTGATAGATACCCTCAGCTATACTCCTTGGGGCAGCGGAATGAGTTCTTCAAGGTCAAGACATTCGCGGGGTGGATTTTGAATGCTGCTTACCATTCTATCATCCTCTACATTGGCGGTGAGCTTTTCTGGTACGGCGATTTGATTCAAGGAGACGGCAAGGTCGCTGGGCACTGGGTCTGGGGAACTGCGCTGTACGGTGCTACGCTCCTGACGGTGCTCGGCAAGGCTGCACTGGTCACAAATAACTGGACAAAGTACCACGTCATCGCCATCCCCGGTAGCATGGCGATCTGGTATGTCTTCATCGCCGTGTATGGGACAGTCGCCCCCATGCTCAAGATCTCAACCGAATACCACGGTCTGGTACCCCGACTCTACGCAAGCCCTGTCTTCTGGCTCCAGACCTTTTGCCTGGCCATCCTGTGTCTGCTTCGGGACTTCGCATACAAGTATGCCAAGCGGATGTACCGTCCGCAGACGTATCACCACATTCAGGAGATCCAGAAGTATAACATCCAAGACTACAGGCCTCGGTATGCCGCTTCCCTATCCTCAATAATTTTCTTGACTCTTGACATTTTTGCTAACCCATCTCAACCAATAGTATGGAGCAGTTCCAGAAGGCCATCCGCAAGGTGCGGCAGGTGCAACGCATGCGCAAGCAGCGCGGTTACGCCTTCTCACAGGCAGACGAGAGCCAGGCCCGCGTTCTGCAGGCCTACGACACGACGCAGCATCGTGGGCGGTACGGCGAGATGACGAGCTCAAGGAGGTAGCCGGGGGAAGCGACAGGGAAATAACAGCCCTTCTTCTGCTCCTCTAATGTGATGATTATGGATGGGACGTGAACTGGCGTAGCGCGGGTTTGCCTTCTTCCGGGTTTGGGGCTTGACTTCTTCCTCATCCGATCGATGATGGGACGGAGCCTCCCCTCCCCCCTACCTGTGTTGTTAGTACGGGTTGTACGCACGATCCGAAGGAACGAAAGTATATCAACAGTTTTTTTTCTCTCTTATATTGGAAGGTACTGGACAAAGTCTCTCTCACGGCCTGGTGTTGAGGTGAATTATCCCATTCGGCTTGTATTTATTGGCGGGTTCTATGAAAAAAAAAGAGACATTTGATTAGTAGCATCATCGGTCCGGGTCTTTGCTAGACTCCTCTCCTTGACTATCTCTTGCGTGAAAAATGCATGTGAAGGGGTCAATGGCATGATTTGCCTGCCCGTTAGACTTCCGTCCTGCAAGATTTGAGTCGCCTCCCACTTGCCGGGTCTGTCGATCGATCACAAGCCGATGATAAACGGTTTTCTTCCCGTCCCGATCTGAAAGTGTGAGGAGCTGTCGTGGGTGCTTTCGTGGAGGGAAAGTTGACGTGTCAGTTTCTTCGTTCATATTCTCGGTATATTCCTGAGGTTATAACGGACAGGGGAGAGAGTCATGAGCCCTGTTCAGATGCCGATGTGAGTTGTCTAGCTGTCTGGCGCCTAATTGCTGTTGGTCGCCATCAAGAGGACTACCTACGTAGAGAGAGACTGGCCGGCCGGCAGGCAGGCAGGCAGGGAGCGGAGATAAGCAGTGGTGGTTTGGGAAATTAACTTACATGAGGTTGGTAGGTAGGCCGTCTCCATAGATCGAGCCATCCATCATCACCTTACCCTTCTGCAGGAAGCTTGGAAATAAAGTAGCATAAATCAACTTCCCCACTTGCAACGCCCTGTTTGTATGTCACTTCCTGTGAGGTGTAGTGCTGTATAGAACGAGAGAGCTCGGGAAGGCTGCTGCGAATGCATTCGCCAACCCCACCCACCCGAGCACCAACTCGGAAGCTGTATGTCCAGGAGGCACAGTAGCTTGCTCGTTCTGCCTGCAAGATAACTACCCAACTCCGTCTCCAGCAGCGGGTACGTATGCGCTGCAGACGCAGGGCCCCGTCCCTCTTCCGTCTTGTCGCCCCGCTGCTTTTCCCATATTCACCTATCTGCTGTATGTACTGTGATGAGAGACCCTCTTATCATAGGAGGAAGCGACGATCCCGAACCTAGCCAAAGGACTCCGCACTTCGGAGGGACGATCATCGGTCGGATCTTACGTCTGGACAGGCTTGGGCCCCACAGAAGCTCCGGATTGAGGCTTTGCGGGAGGCATGTTAGTTGGGTAGCCTGTGCACCTATCTATCTCTCTGCATCAGCTGCGTGTCTTACCTTACTGAGCTGACCCGACTCACCTCAAAGGCCCCATGTCCATGTCCATACTCATGTGTGATAGTTATCGATATCACTGTGCTAGCGAAAGGCTGTCTCACGTCATGGAACTGCAATAGCGTGGGGAGTAGTTTGAATTGTTTTTGCAATTGCTTTGGTGCTCAGCAAAGAGCCTCTGATATCATGGTAGCTTGTTGGCTACTGTTGCGATTTATCCCGAAAATGCTCCCATCCCTGATTAAGTGGTAGTTGACCATCGATTCGTCATACACTCGTCTCATTGTCATAGTTCTTCTCAACGCATTTCGCTGCAAATATGATGACTTTAGGAAAAGAAAAAGAAAAAAAAAAAGGAAAAGTAGTATTCCCACAACCCAGTCCATGCAAATAATGCAGCACACATCTATCCCCGGAAAATGTGGAGATTGATTGGTGAGTGTCTGCTGGAAGCCGCTTCGATGTGCGCCGAGATATCCATTTCCCTATGCAATGATGACCCAATCCGGGCGTCCCAAGGTATTCCCGTCTATATGCAACATAATGCTCTCGTAAACCCGAAAATACAACCTGATATGTTCCCTCTGGCAAAAAGAGGTATGTTGTGCAAGATGCAGAAGAAATGAATTGATAAAGTTGTGAAGATGGTAGGAAGAGGGGCAAAGCAGGCCCCCAACTCCAACTAGCCCCTGCCATGCCCCGAAACGGAACAGAGAAGCTGAAATAATCATCCCCCACGCGAGAATAATATCGGGCTTGCGTACGCCATACCCTTAGCTCGGTTCACTTCTCGAGTATCTGCAGGAGCTCTTTTGTGAAATCTGACTCCAGAACTCGTGCAGCCTAGCCGTGGATGAAACCCGTATTGACCCCGAGGGTGGGTCGCAGGCCGCTCCAACCATGAATGGGCGTGATGCTTTATCGCCAACCAAGCAGTTTCCCACGCCAGAGACGAACCCCGCGCGGGGAGTTGCATCGCATGCTCAACTCTCGGAGCCCTCCCCCCACACACGCCGAGCAAATTTCTTGCTGGAGGCGTCGGAGTCAGCTGCAGTAAGCTTCCTTCATTGTTTCGCTCAGCCGTGCCAGTGCGTTCCAAAGATGGCTCACATGATCACTTCAGCCCCTGCAGCAGACCGAATCGAGCCGGCGGCAAGCCGCCTCCCGAAGAAGGATTCTGATAGGTAAGTCTCACCGTCCCGTCATGGGGGTTACCAGCTCGATGCTTTTCGGTCGGGAATACTGAGCGGGTCGGCGGGATGGTAGTGGCCGGTCCATGCTCGGTGAGGTCATGGTGTAGCCAGCACCGTAGTAACCGTCGTACGTGGAGGAGAACACACCGGAAGCCGACCTGGTGTATGAATTGTTAGGGCTAGTAGCCGCGCTGCGGGTGAATGGCCAGATGCTAGGGTGATAAGTCCCTGTTGGCGAGGGGGGACTGGGTGATCGTATTGATATTGACTTCAGAGCTGATATGGCTGAAGTGTGGTTTGCTGGATACGGGGTGGTGGGTGAAGAGACATATGTCGAACTGGGCCGCGAGGGCGAAGCACGAGGAATGATATCTCTCGGCTCAGGGTCGCCAGATGCATAGAAAGGGTAATTGGCAGAATAACCACTCCTTGCTGTTGAGGTAGCAGAAGCCTCTTGATCGTGAATTCGGCAGCTGTTCCCGCATCGCTCGTTAGCAGAGCTCGCGAGGCACAGGCAATTGAGGGGTTAGTGTTAACTTACGCTTCGGAGCAGTACAGAAACTTGTCATCTTGTGGGACGAACTGCTTTTCGCAAGTCATACTAGAAACATAGCCAGTCAGCGGACTTCGTTTCTCCGGTACATTGCAGATGCAGGAACAGTCGATTTCCGACAACGTCAGACAGATTGCCTCCCATTGGAGAGATCGTGAATAGCACCAACTCTGGTGGGTGTTATTACTCCAGGTCACCGACCTGTCAGGTGAAGACGCAAGCAACCCAATTGGGGAAGCCGCGGAAAAGAAAAGCAAAAAGTATTGGACTAGGAAGAACGACACCCGCGTGGAGGGCATGGGGGAAAGGAGAACAGAGCTCCGAAGAGCACATTCAATACCCAGACTTGTCGGAGCCAGTGAAGGGAATACGATAAACGATGCCGGGGGTTCGTAACCTACCAATACTGCGGGAAGCTCTCCCTCTCGTCCTCCCACCAGCGTTCTTCCTCCCATTCCCGCTCACGGTCCCTTGGGTTCTTGCCCAGCTTCTGGGCAGCCTGAGGAGTTGTCCTCCTGGTCATGGGTGCCGGCCGAGAGGTCTTGTACCTGACCGATGGGTCGGAGGTGGTGACAGCTTTCCTGACATCGGTCATGGAAGCATTGGCAGAGCCATGACCAGACTTCCTGCGATGGTGGTGCATAGAGCGCTGTTGCAGCTTTGATTGGCCGTCTAGGGGCTTGCTGGGCGCCTGGGCCGAGGCCAAGTGCTGGTTGGCCAGTTTGACAGGGTTCAAGGGTCTCGGTCTTTTCTTTTGTTCAATGGATGGAAACGAAACGTGGGGAATCTCAAGGGCGCGGGGTCCACTGAGCTTCGTCCACTGGCTCTCGCTGCCCTGGAAAAGTCTAGGCCGCTGTCCAAGAGGAAATTTTGGAAATGCGAAATTCCAGAAGAGCGGCTAGCCGGTCTTTAAGGGGGTAGAAGCGCGACGTGCAGAGATATGGGATATTTCTCTTTCATGCGGATGTCGCGTTAGTGGTGGGGTGGCAAACCTATGCGAGGCACGTCCGACGAGCAGAAAATTTCTGCTTGCAGTTGCTGATATGGCGACTTTCCTTTCGGCTTGGGGGGTTCGCGAACTAGTGAGTATCGCGAAATCGACGGCGGGCCTTGTGCAACTGCAATGCCACGATAAGTGCAGAAAAAGCCCACTTGAAAGCGCGAAAATGGCTGGGGAGAATGGGACGATGTCGTCAGTCTCAAATTCCCGGTGCTATTATCTCGGTTGCCCGTCGCTGGCTGCGGTGCTAGTGGGCAATGGCGTGTAGATAATGAATTAGGGCCAGATACCAGAGATAGAGAGTTGGCTTTTCCAAGGTGACTATTAGAAACCCCGCTCTTTGCCCTCTATCTTTTGTGTGTGGTTTTGTGCTTTGACGTAAAATTGCTGTCTGAAATGCGAAATTTGTACCTAGCAGGACAATGTTCTGATAGATATCTGCGGGGGGTGTTTTCGTGTAAGTCAAGTGCTGGTGGGTGTAGTGGTGGTGTGTGCTGTTGCGCGGATCGAGGGTGATTGGCGTTCAGTGATGTGACAGCTGGAGTAGCGTAGGGCAATCACGACGATTAGTAACGGATTGAGAACACCGTGCAGTAGGCCTGGTAGTTTCGATCACCGGTCAGTGTGTTACGAGGCGTCGTGTGTAAATGTGTTGCACTTGGTGTGGCGGTTGTCAGTTTTAGTACTGTGTCTTGTCTCTCTTGAAAAGGGCGTTGTGACGTAGGCGGGTCTGGCTGGCTGGCTGGATACAGCAACGGTTGACAAAGTCAAAGAGGAATTGGTGACAAGGTAGAATGGGATATGCACAAGAGGTTGTGATTGCTTGTTGT